TCTCGCTCGCTCTGTCTCTCGCTCGCTCTGTCTCTCGCTCGCTCTGTGTATCCTTTGAGTATCTTCAATATCTCTGAGATTTACCCTTTGGTCTTTTCTGCTAGGTAAAATACAAACCTGGTGTACGCAACCCGCAGGCACAATTAGACCAGAGATACCCCACTGAGACCTGGCCTGCCCTCAGTTTTTTGTGTTGTTTTTGAAGGTTGAGATGTTTGGAATGACGGCAGCAGAGACAGGGAGTGAGAGCACAGAGCTCCTGGAGGAGTTTGTGATGCTGCAGAAGGAGATCTTCTCTGATCTTGGACTCCATTACAAGTGAGAATGAGAGCCGACTCATTACATAAGGAATATGGTGTTTGCTTAATTTGTTTGTGGTGGGGTGGGGGCGGCTTTTCTTTTCCTTCCCTCTCCTGCTGCGGCTGGAGTTTCACTTTCCTCGCATCTCGAATACCACTCTGCCCCCCTCTCTCCCACAGCTAGTGTTTCCCATTCCCAGACTCGCCCTCTCTCCCACAGCCAGTGTTTCCCATTCCCAGACTCGCCCTCTCTCCCACAGCCAGCGTTTCCCATTCCCAGACTCGCTGCTTCTCGAGTGTCTCTAGGCCCTCGCCCAGACCACATCTGGCAGTTCATGTGTAGCTCTGGGGATAAAGCTGTCCCCTCGACACTGTCACCTCAGTGACCTGGATACAAACAAGATGTCTTGCAGTGCCATACTGAGGGAGTTCTGCACTATCTGAAGTGTTGCCCTGCAGATGAGATATTAAAGAGAGGTTGTGCACTTCGAGAGGACAAAAAGAGGTGTGGACTATTTTCTAAATGGGGAAAGGCTTTGGAAATCTGAAGAACAAAGGGATTTGGGTGTCCTAGTTCAGGATTCTCTTAAGGTTAGCATGCAGTTAGAAAGGGAAATGCTAGAATACAAGAGCAGGGATAGTGAGCAGTTTTGGGCCCCATATCTAAGGAAGGATGTGCTGGTATTGGAGGGGGGGTGTCCAGAGGAGGTTTACAAGAATGATCCCCGGGATGAAGAGTTCATTATGTGAGGAGGGGTTGAGGACTCTAGGTCTGTACTTGATGGGGGTGGGGGAGGAGTCTAATTTGAAACTTACAGAATACTGAGAGGCCTGGATAGAGTGGGTGTGGAGCAGATGTTTCCACTAGTAGGAAACATTTAAGGGCACAGCCTCAGAATGAAGGGTGATCCCTTAGAACTGAGATGAGGAGGAATTTGTTCAGCCAGAGGTTGGGAAATCTGTGGGACTCATTGCTGCTGAGGGGCTGTGGAGGCCACATCATGGAGTGTGTTTAAGGCAGAGATAGATTCTTGATTAGGAAGGCAATCAAGGGTTCCGGGGAGAAGGCAGGAGAATGGGTTTGAGAAATAGATCTGCCATGGCTTGATGGGCCGAACAGCCTAATTCTGCTCCTACCTCTTTCGGTACTAGATCCCGTGGCCACTCTATGAAGAAGAACAGGGGATGTATTCTCCATCTTCTGCGAATATTGATCCCTAAAGCAACATTACTGAAACATTGCAAGCCATGCAGCATCTAGAGGAAAGGAGAAGCCAACGTTTTGAGTATTACCCACCTTCAGGACTGAAGAAGGTTAATAGCCGAAATGACTGCTCCTTTCCTCCACATGCTGCCTGGCTTGCTGTGTTCTTCCAGCCTCCTGTCTGTCTACCTTGGATTCCACCAACTGCAGTATTTTTAGTCTCTTACTGAGACATTGTTGGGAGCTTACGTTGTTTTTTTTGGCTGTTGCATTTCCTGTAACCTTCCTGTTCCTATGGACTTCAACAAGGTGCATCATTGGTTTTCAAACGTAATGAAAGGTTTGTGTATGTATCGTTTTTGGAATTTGGCTCTCAAAGTAGGTGGGTGTTAGTTCCGTCTGTGAAGGATTGTTTTTAAGAGAAAAAAGATCAGAATGTCCTTCTAAATCAGTGATTTAAAGCCACCATTTTGTCAGAGAGCAGGTGGTTCTAGAACATAGAACAGTACGGCACAGTACAGGCCCTTCGGCCCACAATGTTGCGCCGACCTGTTATCCTACTAAGATCAAACTACCCTGCACACCCTATGTTTTACTATCCTCCATGTGCCTATCCAAGAGTTGCTTAAAAGTGTCTAAAATATCTGACTCCACTACTTGCGGAGCCCTGCGGTGCTAATGGAAAGATGTTTATATTGTGTTTACAACAGGTAGAGCAATCATGTAAGGCCAATTGGAGTAAGGAATGAAGAGGTGTTGCTATAATTGTGGAGGTTTTTAGTGAGATTGTATCTGGAGGACTCTGCACAGTTTTAGATTCTATGTTGAAGGAAGAGTATTTACTGCTGGGAAGTGGGAGTCATTGGGTGGGTCAGCATTTATTGCCTGTATCTAAATGCCCCCTGAACAGGTGGTGCCTTCTTGAGCCGCTGCAGTCCATGTGCTGTGGGTTGACCCACAGTGCTGTTTGGGAGGGAATTCCGGGATTTTGACCCAGCAACGGTGAAGGAGCAGCGATTATATTTCCAAGTCAGGATGGTGAATGGCTTGGATGGACATTTGCAGCTGGTGGTGTTCCTTGTCCTTCTGGATGGAAGTAGTTCATGGGTTTGGAAGGTGCTGTCTGAGGACATTTGGTGAATTTCTGCAGGGCATCTCATGGGGGGCACACGCTGCTGCTTCTGAGCTTTGCTGGAGGAGGGAGTAGATGTGGTGCCAATCAAGTGGGCTGCTTTGTCCTGGATGGCATGGAGGTGCCAGTGTTGGACTGGGGTTTATTTCAAATAAACCTGTTGGACTTTAACCTGGTGTCATGTGATTTCTGACCTTGATCTAGATGGTGTCGAGCTTCTTGAGAGTTTTTGGAACTGCACTCATCCAGGGCAAGTGGGGAGTATTCCATCACATTCCTGACTTGTGCCTTGTAGATGGTGGGACAGGCTTTAGGGGGTCAGGAGGTGAGTTACTCACTGCAGGATTACTAGCCTCTGACCTGCTCTTGTAGCCACTGTGTTTATGCAGTGAGTCCAGTTGAGTTTCTGGTCAATGATAACACCCAGGATGTTGATAGTGGGGGTTCAGTCATGGTAACACCATTGAATGTCTAGGGATATATATGTATTGGAGATGGTACAATGAAGGCTGATTACATTGTTCCCTGGGATTAGGGGCTTGACTTTATGTAACACTGAGTAAATCAGGCCATTATTCTATAGAATTTAGAAAGGGGGCAGGTCACAATCTCACTAATACGTTGAAGATTCTGAAGGTCTTTGACAGGGTCGACAGTGAAGAGGTTATCTTTAGCGTCCTTTGCCCCAGAGTAGAGTCCCTACGGTGTGGAAACGGGCCATTCGTCCAACAAGTCCACACTGACCTGTTAAAGAGTGTTCCACTAATACCCATCCCCCTACCCTGCATTCCCCACGGCTAAGACACCTAACGTGCACATGCCTGGACACTACGGGGCAATTTAGCATGGCCGATCCACCCTAACCTGCACATCTTTGGACTGTGGGAGGAAACTGGAGCACCCTCCACACAGACAGTCAACCCTGGGTGGATTCGAACCCAGGTCCCTGGCGCTGTGAGGCAGCAGTGCTAACCACTAAGCCGCCCCAGTGAGGATTGTGGGAAGTTCACCATATTTAAGACAAACCAAATCAAAGGATGTACTGGATGGGAAAGCAGAATTGAAGCTGAAGATTGGCTCTGATTGGATTGAATGGTGGAGTAGGCTAAATGGACCAGATGGTTTATTCCAGTTCCCCTCCACCAGTCAATTAGGTCATGACTGATCTATATCACATCTACTTCACTCAGCTGGAAGTTGAAAATGACGCCTGGCCTTTCAGCAGTAATTCCAGTTTTGTTTTCTGTGAAAATGCTGTTTCTGGTTCCTGACCAACTTGGCCCTCCTTGTATGGACCCCTCCTCATTCTATGTAGCTTTTACTGAAACCTTTCATCATTTGGAACTCCCTGGATTCATTCTCTCCTGAACTTACTGAAATTGGTGCAGAAAAGATTTACGAGGATGTTGGGGAGATTTCAGGTTTGAGCTGTAGGGAGAGGCTGGGGCTATTTTCCCTGGAGCGTCGGAGGCTGAGGGGTGACCTTATAGAGGTTTATAAAATCATGAGGGGCATGGATAGGGTGAATAGCCAAGGTCTTTTTCCTTGGGTAGGGGAGTCCAAAACTAGAGGGGCGTAGGTTTAAGGTGAGAGGGGAAGGATTTAACAGGGACCTAAGGGGCAGCTTTTTCACACAGAGGGTGGTGCGTGTATGGAATGAGCTGCCAGAGGAAGTGGTGGAGGCTGGTACAATTACAACATTTAAAACGCATCTGGATGGCTGTATGGATAGGAAGGGTTTAGAGGGATATGGGCCAAATGCTGGCAAATGGGACTAGATCTGATTGAGATGTTTGGTCGGCATGGACAGTTGGATCAAAGGGCCTATTTCTGTGACTCTGTAACCTCAAAAGGCCCAAAATGCATCTGCTCTCGGCTTTGTGCAACATTAATCCCACTTTACGCCTCCCTTCCTCCCAAATGGATTTCCATGTCCTGGGCTTATCCCTCGCTCGGTCACAATCCCGTTCTTACTTCTGACGCTCTCTGTATAAAGACTTACTTCTCTCCTGTCCTGGTGTTAGTGCCCCCTCCAGCCTGTCCATCTGCCCCGTCCTATCCCGGTCCTCGGGGGATCCTCGCTGATGTCCAGTTCTGAAGGAGAGTCATAGCTAGGCTCCTCTGTTGCTTTTTCCTTCTTTCTCTCTGTCTTCACAGATGCTGCCGGACCTGCTGAGTTTCTCTGGCATTCTGTCTGTGTGAGTGTCTGTGTCTGTGTCTGTGTCTGTCTGTGTGTGTGTGTGTGTGTGTGTGTGTGTGTGAGATTGTGGCTGATTATCTGGTTATTTCTGACAGGGTGTTGGATATGCCGACTCAGGAACTTGGGCTTCCGGCTTATCGTAAATTTGACATCGAAGCATGGATGCCCGGGAGGGGTAGTTATGGAGAGGTAGGTCACTGGGATCATTGTTGACCGTACTGACCTCCCCAAACAACTCTGCGGTATTGGGATAGGAGACAGATTGAAGGAGCATGCACGCTGCTTGGGCTATTCCGAGCAGTATTTAGGGTTTGCTTGTGGATATACCTTGAAGAGTGTGCTGTGCATGAGGGGGCATTGCTGTGCTATGCAGTTGTGTGACAAAGGGTCAGCTCCAACTCTCTGTGAATGTTGGTGTGGGGTAACTTGCAGGCTGCCAGAAAGCCTGGTGGAACTGGGGAGGTGATGGCCTAGTGGCATGATCGCTAGATTGTTAATCCAGAGACCCAGGTTATGTTCTGGGCACCCAGGTTCAAATCCTACCACGGCAGATGGTGGAACTTGAACTTAATTTAAAAAGAAAATCTGGAATTAAGAATCTAACAATGATTATCAGAAAAATACATCTGGTTCACTAATGTCCTTTAGGGAAGGAAACAGTCATCCCTACCCAGTCTGGTCTACACGTGACTCCAGACCCAAAGCAATGTGATTGACACTTAACTGCTTTCTGGGCGATTAGGGATGGGTAATATATACTGACATAGCATCCTGTGAATGTTTTTTTAACGAAAAGAAAAGGTAGAGTCGGTTGTATTCATCCAATTCCCCTTGGAAAATTATACAGGTGGGGTGGAGGGGGGGAGAAATTATACAGAAAGTACGTGAGATCAAAGAGTTGGTGCCATTGCAATGGGCTGAATGGCCTTCAGTGCTGTAACATTCAATGGCTGCCATTCTTTCCTTGGATATTCTGACAGAAATTACCAGCCCTGGTCCTACTGCCTAGCTGTGGCTCAAGTCTCCTTGCGATCCTAGTGCACCTGCATGTCCCAGGCCCTGAGATGTGGTCACACCACACAGACTGGAGCCAGAGCGATTAGAATCACAGAACCCCCTACAGTGTGGAAGTAGGCCATTCGGCCCATCGAGTCCACACCAACCCTCTGGAGAGTATCTCAGCCAGACCCCCCAACCCCAACCCCAA